ATGAAGCAACTTGAGACAGGGATTATCGAGACTGCCGGTCCGGTGCACCACACCGAATCGGAATCGCGTGTGCATTATTTGTCTCATCACCCCGTCTACAAGCCCGGTTCGACGACTGAAATCCGTCTCGTCTACGATGGCAGCGCGAAGTTCAAGGATCAGCCCTCGCTCAACGACAAGCTGCATCCGGGACCGTCGCTCATCCCACCACTGCTGAATGTTCTTCTTCGCACACGGGCCTACCAACATCTGCTGGTCAGCGACATCGAGAAAGCCTTCCATCAAGTGGCACTCAACGAACAGGATCGTGATTCTACACGCTTCCTATGGTTCAAGCCTGAAGTCATCGGTCGAATCCTCGACAGCGACAATCCGGCTGCGAAGATGGAGACATTGCGTACCAAAGGGACACAAGCCGACTTCCAAGAGTACCGCTTCTGCCGCGTCCCCTTCGGCCTGACAAGCTCTCCGTTCCTACTTGGCGCCTCCATTCAATACTACGTAAGCCAATCGGATCTTCCAGATACTTTGAAGCGCGATCTCATTCGCAACTGCTACGTGGACAATGTGACGTTCGGCTTCAACAACCTGGATGAAGCCAAGGCCATCTACACTACGACCAAGAAGCTCTTCAGCGACATCTCGATGAATCTTCGCGAGTTCAGCTCCGATGACTTGGGAATCCGCGACTTCATTCCTGAAGAAGACCGCGTCGACAAGCGACAACTGAAGCTTTTCGGGCTGATGTGGAACCAAGATTTCGATACAATCCGCGTCATCGGTTTGAAGCCCGCCATCGTCGACATGTTCTCTGCCGTCTTCCAGTCCGACAAACGACGATGGACCAAGCGCGAAATCTACAGCGTCTTGGCCTCCGTCTTCGATCCACTCGGCCTTCTTGCTCCCTTCACTTTAGAGATGCGGCTCCTCGCCCAATCTTTGTGGAAGGAAAAGCTGACATGGAACGAGCCGACTTCACAGGAGATCACGCGGAATTGGACTGAGATGATACTCAAGTTCTCCAAGCTCGAGCTGGAATTCCCTCGAACTGCTGTCGCGACCGCCGATCTCGCTCGCTTCTACGCTGATCCTAAGGTATTTCTATATGTGTTCACAGATGCATCCGCCCTGGGACTCTGCGTCACGGCTTACCTTCAATCTGCCAACGAAGCCGACAGAAGCCAAGGAGCGCGACTACTCTACTCTCGCTCCCGTCTCGCCACCATCGCGACACCAGTGCCATCGATTCCCAAGCACGAAATGCTTGCATTGACACACGGGATGGAGGTGACACACATGCTCGTCGAGGAACTTCGAGACACCCTCGCAATCCAGAAGATCTACTTCTTCTCGGATTCGGAACCTGCACTTCATCAGCTTGCTTCACCCACCGTCCACACGAACATCTACGTCCGCAACCGCGTCAAGATCTTCCGTTCCGGAATCGAAGGTCTTCGCGACAACTATAAGGTAGAAGTCCGACACGTGCCGGGTCTGATCAACCCTGCCGACCTCGGAACGAAGCCTCCTCTCTCGGTCGAAGATGCACGTCAACGCGGATGGTTTGATGGGCCGACGTTTCTGACCAAGCCCGAAGACCAATGGCCGAAGAAGCTGCAAAAGATCCTCGACATTCCTATCTCCAACGAGCCTGTCGACACCGAGTCCCATGTGACAACAATGGTCAACGCCGCAGATGCCGAACCACCTGTGCGTCGACCACGTGGCAGACCAAGAAAGAATCCTCTACCAGCCGATGTGCCCAACGAAGACGAAGCTGCTCCTCAACCGATCAAGCAAGTACGTTTTCGTGATTTGCCTGACTTGGACGTGGACGACAACTTGCCACCACGCCGCCCTTTGCAACGCGCATGCAAACGCCCTGCAACAAATGCGCCAACGGAGACACCCGATGCTGAACCGGATGCACCTGATCGCATCGAACATCGACACCTTCCTCTACGGATGCCGATCGACCTCGCACAATTCATGTATCTTCACAAGGCCCTCGACTACACAGTTGCCGCTCTGGGAGTCTACCCGACACACCCAGGCGCTGAGAACTTCTCTGTACTACTACGCGACACTCAAAGCCGTGAAGAGCGACAAGCAATTGCGCTGAACTACTTGATCTTCTGCCATCAACAAGACAACCTTAACAACTAACCCCAACTACATCAGCAAGTCAAGCAGAAGACCAATACGGATCCATTCGGAATTGTTCGCATCCGAAATCGAGTCATCAATCTGCCGGATCAACAAGAAGGTGCCCCGATTCTCTTCTCCAAGTCACTGCTGGTCAAGCTCCTCAGCCGCGACGCCCACGTTGTTGCAGGTATCCATCTCTCCAAGCTTGAGACGGAAGCAAGACTGCGACAACGTTTCCACATCGTCGGACGCCGCGCTGACACACGTGCCGACTGTTTCGAATGCAAGATCCGAGACAGCCGCCCGTACCCGTCGCCGGAGACACCCAAGTTGCCGGAAGAACGTACAAGCCGCTGCATGCCATTCCAATACACGGGCGTCGACTTTGCTGGTCCATTCCACCTGACCACCGACGATCCAAGCACGCCACAAAAGGTATACATTTGCCTCTTCGAATGTTTGAGCACGCGCCTTGTCCATCTCGAAGTTGCCAAGTCCATCAGCACAATCGAGTTCCTGCGCTGCCTTCGCAGATTCACCAACCGTTACGGCTGCCCACAGAAAATCTGGAGCGACAACGGGACCAACTTCCGTAAAGCCGATGAGGTTCTACAAGCCCTCGCAGCAAATCGCGACATCCGTGAAGAAGAAAAAAGACACTCGTGAGGATGAACCCGACACCGTCGACCTCCAAAGCTCTGACGCTTTGGACTTCTTCACCGACACTGGCATCCAGTGGATCTTCAATGCACCTGCTGCGCCTTGGCAGTCTGGACACGCCGAACGGATGATCCAGATCGTCAAACGCAAGCTCGACTCCATCTCGCTGCAGAAGAAGTTCGATCCTGCCGACTTCGACACCGTCATCACTGACGTGGAGTTCAGCACCAACAACAGGCCACTCGTATTCCTCTCTGTGGAAGACGAAATCGTGGTCATTCGTCCGATCGACTTCTTCCTGCCTGGTCTTCGAGGACTCAAGTCGTTCTACGACCCGAAGACAGACGAGGACCCCGATTTCCAAATCAAGGTCAACCCGACTGATGAGATGGTGACAACTTGGTTCAAGATCTACGACAAGCAGCTCACTCAGCTCTGGAAAGACTACGACCTCTACTACCTGCCGCAACTTCGCGACAAGAACAAGTACCGGACCGCTCCTGGACGCTGCTCTACCAACCAGCTCCCGAAGCTGGGCGAAGTCGTCATGCTTATCGAGCCCCATGGAGACCGAGGCAGCTATCCGATCGGTCAAATCGTCGAACTCCTCAAGGGCAAAGATGATGCTGTGCGCAATGTCAAGGTACGAATGTTCAAGTCTGGAAAGACGTTCGTCCGCGCCATCACCACCGTCATCAAGCTCGCCGACAACGTACAACAAGTCGAGCCCGACATTCTCAACGCCGGTCGACTACGACACCGAGATGCCACTGCTGAACTGACACTTCAAACGAAGCTCTGTCAGATCGACACGACGGAAGCCGCGTTCAACCTCACGGGTGACACCGGCGCCTTCTCAGATGAAGATCCGACACCTGAAACGGATGAGGATCTTCCTGCGACACCCCAACTGTGATCGCTTTTTTCAACAAATATGCTGTCGCATGCGATGGAGGTCTCGTGAGAGGGTTTTTCTTCTCTGCGTGACTCCCCCTGCCGCCATGCTGTGACAATTCTCCGATTCAAGACAGCACTAAGGTCCCTCGGAACCTTCCCTCAACACCTGGTCAAGCGACATCTGCACTGTCAAGTACCAAGGACGCCACGCCATCAACAATTTCTTGGTCAAGCTCTGCAACGAGATCAATGGCCACCACGACGTGCCGCGCTCCTCGACATGTGCAAGACAACTACTCGCTCAACGACACCAAACAATCCGATAAGTCCCCTTTCCCTATCCCCAGTTGGTCCGGTAGGAGTACGGGCTCCTTAGCACCGGCCAACTATTTTATCTGTCAGCGGCCCCACCCCTAGCTTTTACTTACCATTTTTTCGTCCTCCCGCCCCCCAACAGTGGCTTTATATACCATCTGATATTTGGTACCCCTGTCCCACCATTTCCCCTGGGCTGGACGGACGAGTCTGTAAATTCTTGGGCCGCCGCGAGGCTCCCACTCAACCTCCCACTTAATTTTCCCCGTCTCCCCTAAGGTGGCGGCACTCTTCGGCTTGGCGTTGGCCGGGAGTGTCGAAACTTTCCTAGAGAATTCCATTCTCTAGGTGCAGTTTCGAGGATTTAATTATGTGGTGTAATGGGGTTGGCAATATGCCAGGTGGTCCCGCCGCGATGACCGTATGGGAGCGGGCTGTGCGGCGCCCTCTCGACTTTCTGGCGATAATTCGGGTTCTTCCCGGATTACTCGTTTCTTCTCTCCCGAAAGGGATTGGAGGCCAGGGATGGTTTCGGCCTGAACTGGAGAAGGTCTGTGAGCCTGGAAGTGGTTTACCACTGAAGGGGCGCAGTAAACCACTGGCGAGTGCATCCTTTCGACACCCTGAACATTCTCGTTCGCCCTGCCTTCGACATCTGTATTATCCTCAGACACCCTTTATCCGTGCCATATATATTCGCCACTGTTCTCTACTAATAAACGTGTTCTCTAATCCATTCAGGTATATTGGTAACCACATCTATACTGCCATTTGAACACCGAACGCGCGCGCTGGTATTTATATGGAAGTGGTTTGAGGCTCGGAATATAAATGTGGCAACCTGCGCTTTCCTTTTTCCTTTATACCATTTAGCATTATACACTTTAGGAAAGGTAGGAGGTTTATATTTTCGATAATCACAATACTCAGATAGAACATGGGATAACTGGCAATAACGGTTTGCACAATAAACAGCCTCATTGAATAGAACAGACGGCCGTGTTTCGAGAATTGTCGATGGGGCGCTTCCGGACTCCCGGGTCCTCGCGGATGATCTGAAAGTAGGAGAAATGATACCGGGGGTTCCCAAGGGGTCTCTGCTAGCTAACCCAAGGCACTGACCTCTCCTTCGACAATGACGATATCGCTTTCGACATCCGTTTTTGAGAGCGCCACGCCAACGAGGTCGGCAGCGGTTTGTCTGAAAATGGATGAATGGTAGAACACTTATTTCCCCCGGCGAATTCCACCCATAATCCCGACAGGCCAAAATACCGACATCCACAGCAAAAACCTCGACAGCCAAAATACCGACAGGACGCAAGGTAAAATAACAAGACCGGAATTCAGCAACCGTTTTGCTGGTTCGGTTACAGGCTATCAGGATGTTGTCATGTCATGATTATAACTTTTAGATATCTCTGGCTCTACCGCTTTCCGGTGCAGTTTTTAACTTACGACATGCTACGTACTAGCGGTATCAGTGATATCATCATGCTAATACTCGAGAGTTTTTTGCCAGTCTTTCTGGTGTTATTTGGTGTTTGTTGTTGCTAGGTCTCGGCCTATTTGCGAGTCGTGCCCCCCCTCTACTGGCCATTCCGCCAAAACAACGTGTTTTCGTGCCGGGACCCCTCTCGCCCCTCCACATATTCTATGGTATTTCGTGGCGCTCTACATTCGCATTAAAATGACCACAATAAATGGAGGAAGGTACGGTAATTAAGGGTGAAATTTTTGCGTCCATGGAAGAGTGTGCCAAAAATCAAATATCGCGCTTATTTCAATTCTCAAAAGACTGCGGCTAGCACCGTAGCTGGCTGATCTTCATTAACGCGCATAGTTTCAAATTCTTAGCAAAAATCTGGGAAAAGGCAGAACATTTTTAGCCGGCCCCCCGGATCCGTCGGGTTGTGTACGGGGTGGCGGCGCCGTGTTGGTAAGCAGAATCATCGGGTTCAGCCCTTCAGCCACCCCCGAAAGTGCATCTCCTCTGCGTCTCTCGGATCTACTGGCTCTTTCGATCTCTATCACGTTCTCTCTCTCCCTCTCTCTCTCTCTCTCCCTCTCTCTCTCACTGAGTGTCCTGTCTGACTCTTACCTCGGCCGCACGAAATTTAGGGGGTGCCACGTTCTGAGTACCGTAACTATTACGATGAGATTCCTATGCCTAACCTAACTCTAAGCCTAAGCCTAAGCCTAAGTTTAAGCCTAGCCTAAGCCTAAGCCTAAGCCTAAGCCTAGGCCTAGACTAAGCCTAGCCTAAGCCTAAGTCTAAGCGTACCTAAGCCAAGCCCAAGCCTGGTAAACGGCTCAACCAAGCCTCAACCTCCAGCGATAAACCATAAAATTGACTAGACTCTATCTCCTGCCAGACAGTCTGACTGATCTACCGTACCCCTCGTTGGGCAAGCAGTTGTCACTTGTTTACCCGTGGCTAGCTCCCCGGTGTTGATTTCGGCGACTAATTGCCCTTTGCTGCCGTTCGACCGGCCTATGTCCGCTTTTTTCGCAGTTGAGCCCCTCAACGAGCTGCACAATTTGCAAAACCTCGATCCATAAGCCATAAGGGTTAAGGGAACGTTTTGTGTTTTGCATAGACCGTCTCCTTAAAAACACAGTACCTTTTCGTTTTCGTTTTTCGACCGAATAGGTTGTTTTAAATGGTATGGTCCAGCCAAAACCCCGAGAACGAAAACCCCGACATGCAAATGGGCCGGCGGCTCGCTAGCTCGCCACAACCGGCAAAATCGTTAGCGTCCCTTGCCAGTCCCTTTAGATCCCGCCGATAAATCCCCCAAAACCCCTCAAGAAATTCCGTTTGATTCCTATATGCTATTTGTTTGTTGTGTCTGCGCTGGAGGTAGAAGACGCTTCCGAAAACAGCCGCCAGGGCGAACGGACCGCAAAAACACCCACACGCCCGCAAATACGCTGCCGGAAAATACGCCGAGCCGTTCCGCAAAGAATTTGTCAGAATTTTTAGGGGTTACGGTAGGTGGATTATCAGGATTTTTTTGATTTTCAATCGACAATTTTAATCGAAATTCCACCTGAACATAAGCGTGACGCTGTCCCCAGTTTTTGCCGACGCATAGAAACTGGCCATGCCGTGCTCGTCGGCGAATCTGAAGCGGGGGATACTGTAGCTTAGGGTTATGTTCATTTTTCCTAAAAATCATTTTTCCTAAATTCATTTTTCCTAAATTCATTTTTCCTAAAAATCATTTTTCCTAAAAATCATTTTTCCTAAAAGTCATTTTTCCTAAAAATCATTTTTCCTAAAAGTCATTTTTCCTAAAAATCATTTTTCCTAAAGTTCATTTTTCCTAAAATTTTTCATTCAATAGGGATGCGTAAAAATATCAAGAAATTCCAAATGCTGTCATTTTTTAGCAGTATTTGTTTGGTTTGGTTATTGGTAGGCTTTTATCGAAAATCTTTCTTATTATCATTGATCCTTTTCACTTCCAATCACCCAAATCTAGGCTAAACGCGCAACTAAAATACTTCCTATGATCACCCTAGGCAGATCTGACCTTATTCTAAAAAAATTTCTATTTTCTCATGCATAGTACTAAAGAACTAGGCCTTTACGGTATTTAACCGGTTTTAGGAAAAATGAACTATAGGAAAAATGATTTTTAGGAAAAATGACTTTTAGGAAAAATGATTTTTAGGAAAAATGACTTTTAGGAAAAATGATTTTTAGGAAAAATGAATTTAGGAAAAATGATTTTTAGGAAAAATGACTGGAATTCTGTAGCTTACGGTACCCAGTACGTTGCAGTACTCCTTCTTGCTTAATATACAGGGTGTCCCAAAAAAAAAAGACCCCCCCAAAAATTTGAGCCAGAGGGCACCTACGGAGCTGAAAATTTGCACAGAGGTAGCGAAGGTAAATTTCTATGAACAAGGAAAGTTTCAGCCCGGTCGGCCAGCGGGTTTTAAAGTTATAGCATAGCGCAAACACTTTTCATTTTTAATTTAATATGGGGATCTTTGAAATTTGCATCACAGATATGCGTTATTCTTGCATTTACAAGCCGATTTTGCATAAATTTCGCTGAAAAGTGCCATTTTCTTGATGGAGCTTTTGGAAAACGATTGCGTATGAAGAATAAAAAGAGTGTTAAAACAACTGTTTTATCGATCCAAATCACGTCTTATTGTACATTTTGGCAATTTGAGCTTCGTCGACCCGAAAGCAGAGTTCGGCGAGCTCGAAAACAGTGTTGAAGTTTAGATTTGGGCTTATGTTGGCGCGTACGCTGAAGTTTAAGCCAAGCTCAAGCGTTCAACGATAGTTTCCGCCATGAGGTCTGGTATTCATCGTCCTTGCTGATCATTTCCTCGCTACATGATCAATCGTTTTCCAAAGCTCCATCAAGAAAATGGCACTTTTCCGCGAAATTTATGCAAAATCGGCTTGTAAATGCAAGAATAACGCATATCTTTGATGCAAATTGCAAAGATCCCCATATTAAATTAAAAATGAAAAGTATTTTCGCTGTAACTTTAAAACCCGCTGGCCGATCGGGCTGAAACTTTCCTTGTTCATAGAAAATTACCTTCGCTACCTCTGTGCAAATTTTCAGCTCCGTAGGTGCCCTCTGGCTCAAATTATTGGGGGGGGGGTCTTTTTTTTTGGGACACCCTGTATACTCCTAGGTCTTACTTATTGTGTTTGTCGATGCGAATGACGCGCCGATGTTCGAGGTCCGTCTTGTTGCCCACCAGCCCGAGGCGTGGCGGCTAGAAAATGGCCTAATCCGTGATTTTTTACTTTTTCTTTGACCATCGAAATCTAATGTCAATCCTAAGCCTAAGCCTAAGCCTAAGCCTAAGTCTAAGTCTAAGCTACGGGCTACAAACCTTTTCCTGGTTTTTCGAAATGCGCTTGACAGCTGACACCCAGTCGCTCACGTCTTCGAACGAGGCTGCAAAAAGTTAACGTACAATCGATACGATGCTTCTGGCATCACCATATATACCGTATCCTAACGTACCCGAATTCGTGACATCATAGACGATCAATGCAGCGTGAGCTCCGTAAACGTACTTCTCGAGCATTTCCCCCCGCTATCGACTGCCCGCCAATGTCCCAAACCTAGAGGGATTTCGCTTTAGCGCTCCTTGAAAATGGCCTACCTGGAGGAGGACTTGAACGTCGCCTGGCAGGGTCAGCCGACGCGAGAAAAAGTCGAGACCCAGTGTCTGGAGAATTGTAAATTTGGGTATCCAACCAAAAGCTAAGCCCAAACCAAGCCAAAAAGCATCAGCTTAAGCCGCACTGTACCTAGGCCTACCAAGCCAAAGTTAAACCAAATTGCATGTTTGGCCTAACCTAAACCTGAGCCTAAGCCCAAGTCAAGAAAAAGTCCAAGTCTAGGTCTAGTTTATGCCCCAAAGCCAAAACACAACTTAAGCGAAGCTTGAGCCTTGGTTTAACTCTAAAAATAAGCCAACACTAACAAGAAGACTAAGCATAAGCCTGATTCACAAAAATCCAGAAGTACCTGATGATAGTTTTTATCGAAATGATCATGTGCAAATCGGGAGCAGATCGATGTCTTTCCTGACGATCCATCGCCGCAGACTACAATCTGCAAACCGGAACACTCGATTTAGACTCAAATTGCCTACTTTAAACGTCTTGTCAACAGTCTCCGGCTCATCGTCATCATCTTCCGGCTCATCGGCTGCCAATCGCTTCTCAAAGTCGTCGGGCACCTGACGCGGCTTCTCTGGTCCTGGAGGGGTTGTAGTTGCGGCTTCTCCACCCGAATCGCCCATTTTGGAACTGAAAACGCAGCGATTAATGCGAAAAACGAAACATTATTTAGGAGTTTTGAGGGGGCGATGCAGAGATTCACTCCCATCGGGGACCGAAGGCTTGAAACTCCCTTTCGATGTCTGAGGGGCACCATGGCAACCCGTATTCTAGAGTCGAGCCATGGACGCATACTAGCAAAAAGGCTTCTTTCTGGGTAGCGATCTCTAGCTAATCCGATGCGAGTTGTTCTTAAAAAACCGAGTGAGAGAGTGGGAGAGCGAGAGATAGAGAGAGAGAAAGAGAGCGAGAGCGACGAAAAATACTTAAGCGAATCATTCGGAAAACGCTAGGTAAACTAAAACACAAGTTAGGTGTTTGCTCATCTTCACTCGCTCTCTTTGTCCCTCTCTATAGCTCTCTCTATTTCTCGCTGTCTCTATCTCTGTCTCGCTCTCTCGCTCTCTCTCCCTCTCTCTATCTCTCGCTCTCTCACTCTCTCTCGTGTTATACTTGCGTCACTTGGTACCAAATAAATCTTTATACAACTATTCCACAAAATGCGCGTCGAGACAACAGAAAAACAATGAAAGTAAAAATCGAAATATATTGGTGTACCGTGGAATGAGGGATTGATTTCGGGATTGGGAGGAGGGTACGGTAGGTAGTAGGTGGGTCACGCAGGGTACAGCAAGGGTTTCGGTGTCTTAAAATGATTTGAAAGTTCGGGAAGGAGAAAAGAGGGTACAGATCGGTCGGGGATTGGAGTGGATGATGGGTGTGTGAAGTACGGTAGTGAGAGCAGAGAATAGGGTGGGACTGTCCCGAAAAGTCGTAAATTTGGAAAGAAAATCGATTCATCCGATTAAATCTAAGCCCAAGCCTAAGCCTAAGCCTAAGCCTACGCTAACCCTCTTCATATTTAATTTATTTAAATTTCGACTTTTCGACACATAATTGTTGGAAATAATCTTAAAAACCAATCAAACAAAAATAATTACCGCAAACAAATTGCACCGGCAAAAAGAACAACTCAAAAACTCTCCACAAAATAATACAAAATCCACTACTTTAAAAGTATAAAAATATTTTAAAAATGGGTAGATGATGTGTGATATCTCAGAATTGGGGGTATCAGGATGATGAGAAGGAATAGGGTCACTCTTTCTCCAGGTATTGTGGCTGGATTTTCGTGGTTCCGCGCGAGACCCGTCGGGTGGATGATTTTCACAAAATAAAACAAAAATATGAAAGCCGAGAAACCTCGAATTCGACAAGAATTAAGGGAAAATTATTAAGGATGAGTATGGTGAACTAGCAAGCAAAAGAATGCTAAAAAGACCGCGGAAATTAGAGCCAATTAAACATGGATTGAATCCGGAAATTCGGGCACGCGATTTTCAGGGAGGATAAGCTCAATGGAAAGATGCCTAGCCTCGGGAAGAGGGTGTGTTTTTAGAGGGGTTAAAGGGAGGGAGAAGACAAATCCACGAGGTTACTCATGACGCCGGCTCGTCGATGATCAACTGGGCATCGGGGGATTTGTTCTCCGTCTGTTCTTCCGTTTCCGCTAGCTCGCCATGGCCTGAAAAAACGTAGAGTTGTAGTTAGGTGATAGAAAGGAGAGAGAGAGCGAGAGAGAGAGCGAGAGAGAAAGAGAGCGACCCACCTTCACTCCCATCCCCATCAATGGAATGGGCTGCTGCGGCTGCGGAAAGTAATGAAAGTGGGTTTTCGCCGTTCAAAAACGATAACACGTTGTTTGTTAATGCATCTCCATCCGTAACGAGAGCACCTGAAAATTGTCTAATATCGCATGGTTCTCTTGTTGACTCTTAAGAGGAGGGAAGAAGGAGATAGGAAGCAAAAACTCGAGCTTCACGATCGACTAGGTGTAACCTGGTGACAAAAAAAACTAAGCCTAAGCCTAAACCGAATCCTAAGCCTAAGCCAGAACGGCCTGATACGCTTGGTTAGGGCGACCGAGGGTTGTCGACACCTAGTCGCGGTCGGATGTCGATTTTTGCCTTGCTCGACCTCACTAAAGCGCCACCCCGCCAAAACTGACCGTCAGTGCCTCGTAAATTAAGTGCCGTCTGGTCCAAGAATCGCTGATTTAGCAGCGTGTCGGCCATTGATAGGGTTGGTGTCTGGGGTTGGGACCTTGTCACGGAGCCCCGATGAGGGCGACGACGGTAGAATTCTGGAATCCGGCCAATTATGGAGAAAGAAATCGTGACATTTGGTAAAATACTTTATTCGAACATTTTTACCCCTAGAAATGCCGTATTTATTCTAACCTGTTTTCTGTATGGTGTGGTTATGGGGGATTCGTTGCTTTGGGCCGTTGTTTTCCTCCCGACGCCTGGTCGTCCGGAGGAACAGGCGGAAAAGGCGGGGAAAGTGGGGGAAGTATGAGGAAATACGTCTCATGCTCGCCCCGCCACAACAACAAAACTAGTTCAAAATCTGTGGGGGTATTCGGGTTTTAAAGGGACAGGGAAGCGAGATATGTGTAGGTTGGGCATCGATAGAGACGTTAGGAAAGATAAGGATAGGCCAAAGCCTAAGCCTAAGCCTAAGCCTAAGCCTAAGCCTAAGCCAAATAAGCCGAAGCCTAAGCGAAAACGAAAACTTAGGCCAAAACCTAGGCCTAAGCGGGAACCTAAGCCCAATTTAATCCCAAACCTATTAATTTTCGCGTTAAAAGCTTCAACAACCCACCAGAATCGTCCACAGTCCACACGGCTCCTTTAACGTTCTGTTCGACTCGGGTAAAGCATTTGTGAAGGGATAGATTGTGTCGGACGGCGTTCTGAAATAGTTACAGTAAGATACAGTATCTTTAGATTACGCTGTATGATTTTTTCTGTCTGTTATTTTGTTCCCACCCCCAGGCGGCCAAAATTTAAGGAGCCACACAAGAGTCCATGGGAATCTCGGGGGTCACACTGTTCATCTGCCCGTTCTCTCTCTCTCTCTCTCTCTCGCTCTCTCGCTCTCTCTCTCTCCCTCCTACAAAGGGCAATCGGTAGTGGGGGCGTGTGCCACCCCGTACGATAGAAAGGGTATTTTTTAGCAACAACCCTCCCCCAAAACAGCGCCTTGTCACTATAAAATTCGACGACCAAGGCGAAAGATACGATTTTCCAGTTAGGATACGGTAGTGGGGTCTCGAATAGGTAGATTGCATGGATGAGCAGGAAAGGAAAAGCAATAAAAGTGGGTTTTATTCGGTACGGATTCCGGTGGACCTTGCCGCTCCCGAAACACGCAAAGCACGGTCTCGCCTTTCCATTGCGTAATGGATTAGCACCACCTTGTGGCGGCTAAAGGGCGGGCGGGGTTAGCCTAAGCCTAAGCCTAAGCCCGAGCCCAGGCTCAAGCCCAATCATAAACCTCCGACTCCCTTGAAGCCAGCCATAAACCTAAAACTAACCTTCCAAGTAGCAGCATTCCGCCTGAAATACGCAAACGTCTCCTGGAACCATTGGTAGATCTCGTTGAGGGTTAGCTGAAAAGAACACTATCATTAATGCTTGGCTGGCTAACCTGGCATTCCGGACTTTCCATAATGGCCTGCCGTATGAGGGAGGCATATGTGTAGGGCGGTCGTATATCATTCGTTCGGTAAAAATCGCGATTTCGGGCGATATCTGTTGCGATTGGGAGGGATGAGGTGGCAGTCTGGAAATATACAGAATAAATACTCGAATAAAGCTAAAAAAGGATTTTTGGGTCCGGTTCAAATTCTAAGGGAGCGTGCCAGTAGCGGAGTCCTCTCTCACACTCGCTGCTCTCTCTCTCTCTCTCTCTGTCTCTGTCTCTCTCCCACCGCCAAACATCCTTGTTTTATTTATTGTTTAATGCAATGGGAGAATGCGTGGGTGGCTGATGGGAGAATCGAGACAAACATTCTGCCCCTTCTCCCCCTCTCAAATCGATTCATTTTCGAGACCGGAGACCCCGAAAAACATACACAAAAACCACGGGAGGCGCCCCGGGACCCCGCCGCCCCAAAACAATACAATTTGCAGAATTCAAAAAAATAGCAACGAAGTACAGGGTCGATTTTCGAGTACCTAATCAATACCTTATCCGAGATTCGGGATCGTCGTGCTGCGGTGGCGGATGAGGAATTGGTTGGGTTGGAGGATGGCGTGGATGTCGTTACGGGAATCTTCACATCATCCATCCCGCTTATTACCGAAGATATGCTTGAAGCCGAGGAGACGCATGGCTGAAATGGGAAAAATTCTATCGAGGCGTAATCCCCCGGAAGAAAGTATGTCGTCGCTTAAACCTAAGACTTAGTCGATCTAAGGCTAACAAGGAGACGTTTTTGAGTGTCGTCGGGACTTTGGCACGGGACCAAACCTATCTTGTGCAGAATTTTACGCTGATTCTGAATATGTTAACCGTTTTTGCGGAATAGCCATTTCTCGAAAGTTATGGACGATTTAAACCTCAAAACAGCCCAAAATCGGCTACTTTCAATAGTCATAAAAGACTTAAAAATAGGTTTTAGATAAAAACCAAATAGTGCATCTTGTTTAGAAAAGAATTCTCTATAAAATGTACCATTTTTTTCAAAATCATTGAAAAGTTGGAAAAATTTGATAAATTGGGAGGTCCATAATTTTACAAAAATTTTCAAAATTCCAGCATTTTTGAGTTAAGTGGCTTATTTTATAGAGAATTTTTTCCTGAACAAGATGCACACTCAAGTTTTGTCTAAAACCTATTCCGAAGCCTTTTATGACTATCGAAAGTAGCCGATTTTGGGCTGTTTTGAGGTTTAAATCGTTCATAACTTTCGAAAAATGGCTATTCCGCAAAAACGGTTAACATATTCGGAATCAGCGTAAAACTCTGCACAAGATAGGCTTGGTCCCGTGCCAAAGTCCCGACGACACTCAAAAACGTCTCCTTGTAAGCCTAAGCCTAAGCCTAAACCTAAGCCTAAGCCTAAGCCCAAGCGCAAGCCTAAACCTAAGCCAAAGCCTAAGCCCGAGCCAAGTCTAAGCCTAGGCCTAAGCCTAAGCCTAAGCCAAGCCTAAGCCCGAGCCAAGCCTTAGCCTTAGCCTAAGCCTGAGCCTAAGCCTAAGCCTAAGCCAACCCAAGCCCAACCCTGACTTGAGCCTGACTTTTCCATGATCCTTTAATAATCTACCCCCCAACTTCCCCATAACTCTAAAGCTCCTTGCCTCTCTTTGCAACCCCCAAGAAAACACGCATGGCGCCCCTCTGGGTGAGCATTTTGGGGCGGACGTCGCGCACGAGGGGCAGCAGCCGTGGTGGCTCTGTTTACATGTTTACGTGGCAGAGAGACGGTGCAGGGGATAGAGACGCCGAGAAGCAGACAGGAGAGATATAGACGCAGAGAAAAGGTCTTTTCTAGAAAAAGCCCCTTTACGTGGTGGTGGTCGGGATGGCCGAGGGTCCCTAGTGTCGAGAATTGTTGTTTTCAAGCGCCATCCCCTCAACCCGCCCGTTCGGGGCATTGCCAAAAAAAAGCCGTAAAAGGGCGCTGGCGACGAGCCAACTAGGTAAAAAGTCTGGAAATTGATTAGAGGGAGTTTAGCGGTCAGGAGAGAGAGAACGAGAGAGAGAGAGAGAGAGAGAGAGAGAGCGAGCGAGGGAGCGCGGGAAAGAGAGACCGAGCGAAAAAAATGAAGAATCAAAAAAAACAAATTTTCGGCCTTTTTGTGCAGCTTCGAAAGCATTTTAAGCGTGGGCAAGCTAGCAGGGATTCTTTAGTTAGTCTAAAAAGACGTACACGCCCAAAACAAGCCAAAAACAGTGCAAAACTGTCAGGATTTCCGTCTAAAATCGTGCGCTTGCAAAACTAGACAATGGCGAGCTAGCGGAGACCATTTGGGAGAGCCTGAGCTTGAGCGTGAGCTTGACGTACCTGTACTTGTGCGAGAAATTCGGTGACGGTCGTCGGGATGCTGGGCATCGGGGGTATTGTGGGGGAGGTTTGCTGGATTTGCTGGAATCCGCCGACTTCGAGTTTTGGGCTTCGTAGCGGGGACATTGGCTCCTGAAATCAATGGATTAATATGAATAGTAAATTTTTCCATTTCTGTCTCTCTCTCTCTCTCTCTCCCTCTCCCTCTCTATCTCCAACCCCGAATTCTAACAGCCGATAAATTCATGGCTTCTCCTCCCCCCGATGAGACACCACCATCCGGCTGTTTACACAAACGTTTCAATTTCGATTCCGGCCGCTCAGCCAAATTTTCCGATAACATTGTTTACAGTCCCCCCCGCCCTCACTAAATGGCAACCGAAATCTGGAAGAGTGATGCTTCACCCAGATTCCGTCATTTTTGAGCTGCAGCGATGACCTGTCAAAATCTGACTTTTGGATAGCGTGGCAACTTGCAAAGTGGTGATGCTAACTTGTCGTAAACAACCAGAACACAGCACGAGAATATCGATTTTTGTTTCGGAGATTTTTTACTTAGCGTTTTCGATCGCCTTGCGTATCGCGTCGCGCGTTGGATTGAGTATAGCGTTGCGTATTGCGTAGCGTGCTGCGTTGCATATAGCGCTCTTCGGTAGGGTAAATCTACGCTGAGTAAACACGCGCGTACGCCACGCGTGTCGCTGTCTACCGCTTCAACGATACGCTACGCGCCCGAGACGCGTAGCAGGGTGCAATCAGCGCTGCGTCAACGCGTGTTTGTAGCTTTTCAAAAGTTTTTTTTGGACATACAACGCGGTCGCAACGCGTTGGAGTGCCGAGGCTAAAGGGTTCGTGCCTCTAGATACACCAAGGCTCCAAAAAATTCGGGGTTTCTTCCCATTTCGTGTTTAAAGGGACGGTTCTGGGGTTTATTTTACAAAAGAATCTTTCTGTTTATAAATACGCCAAATAAACCCTAAAAAGAAGACGAAGAGACGGAAAATAGAACAAAATAATCTCTAATCAACTAACCGTTTTGCCGAGTGGTGGTTGATGGGAGGTGAGTGCGGGTGAGGTATCGGCAGATGGGTGTGCAGAGGAGGCCGACGTCGTCTTCATATGCAAATGTTGCATCATGGCCTGGAGGCGGATGCGTTCTTTCGATAACCTGAAACAGGATATTTAAAGCTATAATTAAAAAATTATTGATAGAAAATGTTGTTTGCCTGATTCTAAGCACCATATACAGTTTTATTGTGGAAAATTAATATACACAGCTTCAAAATTGTATGTTAAAATACCCCACCGATGCTCCAAGTTGTCGACGGTCTCGATCTGCTGGCGCAACTGCTGGGCAGACCGTTCATCAACCGGATGCGCCTGTTGGAGGTGCAGGAGGAAATTGGCCAAACTGTCGCATGGTAGATCACATCCCGGCCAATTGCATAGGTTATGTGTCCACAAGGGATGAGAAGCCGATGTGCCTAAAACAGCGGTAAAGCGGGTCCTCAGTGTTTAACGAGACTCATTTTGCATGGCTTTAACCTACTTTTTATTACATTAAAGGGTACGCGTCAGGTGAATTTTAGCTCTGTAGTCTTTGAGGAGAGAGAGAGCGAGAAAGAAGAGAGAGAGAGAGAGAGAGAGAGAGAGAGAGAGGGAGAAAGAAGGGAGAGAAACTACCCATTTCCATTCCACGATCATTATTCGGCTAGTCTCAGCGGTCTATTAGAACAGGAAAGGGATCAGAGACCAGTCTTTCCCCGTCCCGACAAATCGCGAGAACCAAAACAACAACAACCTCTCTCTCGCTCTCTTTTTCGCACTCCCTCCCTCTCTCTCTCTTTCTCTCTGCCCACCGGGGCTAAGTGAGCCGCCAAGTCTCGGGGATCCCAGGCAAGCGGAAGTGAGTCACAGCCAAACGAGCGCCAAAATAAGAGAATCATGGTGCGAAAACAAAACTTGGCAAGGAGAATTTGGAGCTCAATAAAAATATCGCAGATGCGCATGGAAAATGTCTCGCTCTCTAGCTCTCTCTGCCCCTCTCTCTCACTCTCTCGCTCTCTCTTTCTCTCTCTCTCTCTCTCTCTCTCTCTCTCTCTCTCTCTCTCTCGCTCTCGCCTCACCCACAGTGGTCCGAAGCGTACACGTCCCAGTAAACGAATTGACGTATATGCGAGACACGATGGGGCGTCAAAGAGAGAGAGAGAGAGAGAGAGAGAGAGAGAGTGAGAAAGAGAGAAAGGGAGAGAGAAACGGTGCTAGCAACAAACGGAAAATTAGGTTTTGGAGGTAAGTGAAGTGCGACGATAAAGAAGGATCCGCCAAAACCGAGATCCAGACCGAAGCCTAAGCCTAAGCCTAAGCCAAGCCTAACCCCAACCTCAACCCCTTACCCATCAAACTCCAAGCGGCCAACGTCCCTAACAGTCGGGCCCGTTGGCCGGGGCTCAAACTGTCGGCCTGCAATATCGGGTCCATCTACACCCGCAGGGCACATCCAGTAGCTGTTGTCAAATACCAGCGGGAAATACAGCCGAATATGGGGGATGTTGTGACAATATGGACAGAGACACACACACAACCACCGACTGACAGAGACAGACAGAGAGAGAGGGCCTCGCAATGTGTCAACAGGGCGAGAGTGTGGGAGACATGGGGAGGGCCCAGAGAGGAAAAGGGGCGGGGCCTCCCCAACCAACGCGACACAAACAAACAGCCATCTACTGGCCAGCCCCCCTCTTCGCCGTCGACGATCAATGGATATATGTGTGTGTGTGTAGATGGACAGACGAATAGAACGACAGACAGACAAACAGACATCACACGCATGCATACATACAAACACACACATACACACGTCGAGAGCCCCCCTATTGGAGCGCATGGGGGTGTTTTTTGTGTTCAGCTGGCCATTTTGTGCAGTTTTCACGTTTTTTTCAGGAGCGACAAGTTCAAGGAGTTCGGCTGTGGCGGAATAATGGTGGCATCATTTAATTTTTCACCAAATAATTGCTTAAAATTAGTTCAGCCGGCTATACTAAATGGGTGGCTAAATATTCCGGCGAAAATGACGGCTGGGTGATGGCTAATTTTACGTCTTCTTTCTTGCTCTCCCTTTCTCTCTCTCTCTATCTATGTCTCTCCCCACCTCACTTTCTTTCTGGTTGTCGTTCATTATCTCTAACTCTTCTCATGCTCTGGTTCTCGTTCTCTCCTTTTCTGCAGTTTGTGCTCATGCTTCTTACCTTCGCCTCGGCTTCTCCCTCCCCTCCCTCCCTCTCTCTCTCTCTCTCTCTCTCTCTCTCTCTCTCTCTCTCTCTCTCTCTCTCTCTGCTCTCTCGCTCTCTTTCTCTCTCGCTTATTCTCGACAGCTCTCAATATCCTTCACTCTGCCGCTCTCTCTAGCTCTCTCACCCCACCCAGCTACGGTATAAAAGCGATGCGACGATTACGGTATTGTTAGCAATTTTAAAAATGTTAAATTTGGTAGCGAATCGAATTGCTAACAGCACTTCGTTAAAAAAGGCCCCCGCAAAAAGGCGATAAAAGTGTCGTACTTCAACGTCTTTCAAAGCCTTCCTAAACTCTATTCTGCATGTAGGTGTCACTTTTAAACTGAAAAGGGCACCCACCACCTTGAATGCACTATTTAGGGCACAATGTTGACGCTCCCCTCACCCCGCAACGCCGATTTTTGTTTATGAATGGACGGCTAGAAATTGTGGGGCCGGGCGAGGGATAGATATTGTAGCAATGACGTGGGAAAGGACATGATTTCACGCTGTTTTAAGCGAATTTTTGCTAGGAAGTATCTTGTGAAATTCACAAGACACGCTTCCTTTAAAGGGATTGTAAAGGGCTTTAGAGGGGTTGTAAAGCTATGACCATGTATTTTGTTGAATATCGATCGTTAAAAAGATTGGCCTTGGATGCGACCAAAGGTAGATGCTCAACCCACTCTGCAAGCACGTCGACAACTCAAGCGGGTTCGAAAGTAGCGGCAGACTGCCGAGACTCAGCATCAGTTGTTGGTATAATTGGGCCGTCGCGTCCAGGCCACCGCCATTTCCACCGTTTAGTTGGCGGCCCATCTAAATTCGTTCTTCAAGGATTCAGGCAGGATTTTGACTAGGCTTAGGCTTGGGCTTCGGTTTAGGCTTAAGCTTAGGCTTCGGATTACGCTTAGGCTTGTTAGGCTTAGGTTTAGGCAATGCTGGGCTCAGGCTTAGGCAGCGTTTAGGCTTAGGTTAGGCGTAGGCGAGGCTTTACGCTCATGCTTAGTCTCCGGCTGACCAACCTGTCCATTCAGCGGTCCATTCGAGAATGATAGCCCAAGACTATGCGGGGAAATCGAACATGATAGTGATGATGGCAGGGCTGTAGATGAGGCTTGTGGAGGGGAAAGAGGACGATGCTGGGTCATCAGACGCTCCTGAAAGTTGAAGTTTCAGATGTGCCAGAAATTTGAGAATTTCCAAAACGCTAATTTCCATAAAAGCGTTTTAAAGGGAAGGTGACATCCGGGAATTCTGTGAATCGAGAAATGCTGACAGCATGCGGGGGACAAACAATATGTAAGTCATTCCAGTCGGTTGGTCCCCCCAAAGAGCGTTGCTTAGTAAACCAGAAAAAGGGGCCTTGGGTCTCCAACTCCGGAAAGGTCGAGTCAGCACTATGTACGGAGGGGGCGAGGTGGACTTGTTGATATTTATGAGGAGGTTATGGAGAGAGAGAGAAAGGGAGAGAGAGAGAGAGAGAGTGAGAGAGAGAGAGAGAGAAGAGGGCGAGCCAGTGAGAGATAGAGCTAGACAGAAAGAGATAGAGAGCGTAAGTGAGAGAGCTAGAGTGAAAGAATACCAGGTTTATAGCAAGGGCGGGAGATAGAGAGTGCGAATGAACGGAAAAACAGAGAAAACTAAACGAAAAATACTTACTTTAAAGGGGCAACAAGCCAACATTTAGTCAAAATCCGAACCTGACAAAGGAATGAGACTCCAAATTCCCTTTCAGCTTTTCCTCAATATCAAAAATGATCTCTAACGCCCCACTATGCTGAGGTGATGTGGATAATTGTCGGTTATCAAGCCTACAATTTCGTTTCAACGGCCCATTTCTGGCCGAGGATATAGTGAATTTCCTCTCAACTATATGCACTTTGTCCAAATCTGACTTGAGAGAATCTATTTCTAGTGCTAAGAGGGAAATAGGGATACTCGAATTCGGGATTCCGAGGGGATTATGCGTGGATGGTAAGTTAAAAAAGGAAACAGGGCTAGACGAGTTAAATTCGGAAGTGAGAGAGCGAGAGCGAGAGAGAAGGAGAGAGATACAGTATCTAGCCTCCACCATACCTGTATTGCCAATAGCAGCAGCTGATCGCCGAATTGTGGGTCCGGCGGACGGGCATCAGACAACATCAACGCGGCCGCCGTTTCGATGCTTTTCCTTCTAGCGGGAAGGGGAATTGACCTGGAAAATGCATTAAATGTTTTGAATAAAATAAGAGATGATGGAGAAAATGAATAAAATTCGAAAAATCAAAAAAAGGCAAGCCAAAAAGTACAAAAAAGTTCCCCGGCCAATGCTTATCCTAGAAGCCTAACCTAAGCCTAAGCCTAAGCCTAAACTTAAGCCTACGCCTAGAAGCCCGTAGACCAGGCCTAAGTCTCCCAAATTGTACCCTTCCCGTTCCTGGAATTTGTTGAAAATAACCACCCAACACTCCCGTGTAAAACTCCCCCAAAATTCTCACAAAATTCCCAGTGCACCGGTGTGAAAATCGAACTTCAAGAACGCCAACAAATTTTTGGGGAGACAGGAGCGAAAAGTACTGCAGTTACAGCAAACAAAACCTATCCCTTTTTGGGGGTAAAGCTGATAAGGGCACCAAAAGATATCGCTTGACATTTTGGGGAGGAGCATTGGAACCAATTTTCGCATGGGTATTAGCATATCAGAAATGGGTGGATGAATCAGCGACCCGTGGATAGTACGTCATCGGAATTTTGTGATGATAAAAAATATTGGCATCAGAAGAGCGAGAAAAAGAAAAATTTGGAGGTGGGAAGGAAGGGGAAAGAGAGCCAGATAGTGAAAAAAGCTAGAAAATGAGGGGAGCGAGAGAGAGATCGAGGGCGAGAGAAATAGAGATAAACGAGAGAGAGCGAGAGAGTGAGAGAGCGAGAGAGAGAGAGAGGGAGAGAGAGCAATACATTTTTTACGGCATCAAATATGTATAAAGTGGACAAAAATCGTATTCTAATTTGAAGGCCAAAATCCCGCCAAAGCACGCCAAAATCTACCCGTATTACCTAGTTGAAAACTGCAAAAAATTGATTTATGCGAGTTTCACCGCAACGTACTTCTGAGGTCAAAAGCAAGCACAAGGAAAGTGATATGCGCAGAGAAATCCCTGCGGTACCCCTGAAGAGGACCCCAATTTCCTGGCCGTATAATTTAGCCCTCCCCCTCCCCATGCCGCACCAAACAAACACACAAAAACATGGGCCAAACGCCGGCCAAAAAATGGGGCGGGGGTCGTCGGATTATGATGGCGGTGTTGAGAGGAGGGCATGGCTGTGGAAAAGACAATGGAGATTAGTAATATCTCCTTTCAGCCGCTACGCCATACACCTATTGACAGAGTAGAGAGGGGAGAGACGAAAACAATGCGTAATCTGAGGCATCGTTGGAGGCATGGAGGTTGGAGTACGATGTTTAAGGGAATGGTGCACGGTAGGTTGGGGCTTAAGCTACGGCTGAGGCTTTGCTTAGTTTAGCTTGAGCTTATGGTCAGGTTAGCTTGGTGAAAATGGCTTTTCGACGCTTTAAAAGGATCGTACCAGCTAAAATTTGAATGGACTAGCCCAAGCCTAAGCCTAAGCCTAAGCCTAAGCCTAAGCCTAAGCCTAAGCCCAAGCCTAAGCCTAAGCCTAAGCCTAAGCTTCTGAGCTAAGGTCTAAAAAATTAAACGACGCTGGAAAGGCAGGAGCCCGGGAGTGGAAATGAGCCGCGTAGGTAAAAGGTCTTGCGAGGTTGAACCCTAAAATCAGAAATGTTCGCCGAATCATTACGCAAAAATCGTGCGTCGCCAGGGGGCCCGGCTTCGAAAACAATGCGCAATTGGGGGCAAATGGCGAAGGGCCCGAGGCCATACTAAATCTCTCTCTCTCTTTCTCTCTCTCTCGCTCTCTCTCTGCCTCCCAACCAGACCAATAAACGCTCAAAAATCAGCCGGAACTTTTCGGACTCTAAACCATCAACCGCTACGCAACACTCCGGCATACCGGGAAGTTGGTCAACATTTCGGGGGGAAAAGAAAGCGCGGACGGACCGAAATGCAGGTCAGGCTCAGCTCAGGGGGGCGCCTGTGCAAAAAAACTGGGCAAGGAGCAGCACCAACTGGTGCTCCTCCACAATACCAGAGCGACAGACACCGGCTACCGTAATTGGGCAAACAAACAGCGCGCCCGCGCCGAGTGACAGGCGGGGCTCTTTCTGAGCGCGGGCGCGGAGCGCGAAAAAGAGGGCAGCACTGGGGGGCACGCCACGATGTCGATAGGTCATTCCGGGGGGAGGATGAGGATCAGGAGGAGCACCAGCTGACTTTTGGGGCTTTAAAGGGACTGGGAAGTTGGAGGGCAATTACTTAGGTTTCGGACTTACGCTTAGGGTTGTGCTTCGGTTAGGCTTAGGCTTAAGCTCTGCCCAGGCTCAGGCTTCGTCCTAATTTGCATCACCTATCCAAATCGCGAAAATCTGACGATTTTCTAAAAAGGATGCATTAATATGAGCATCTTCAATTGAAAAAAAGTGAGCACGACCGAAAATCCTAAACAAATTTCGATCCCCGCTGAAAGTGAAATGTCGAGGAGTCTCAGCGGGGAAAGTGGGCGAAAGATTGAAATGAGGTCAACCTGTGCGCTTCTCCAGGTTGTTCCTTCCTTTCCTCCAATCCGCCCTTCCTCATTCCCTCCCCCAAACGTGACTTTTTCCTCGGGCTCCATTCAGAATTCCAAAAATTCCGGGCCTGGAGCGGTCCTTTAATCGAGTGAATTTCACAAGGATGAAGTACAGTAGTTCTGAACAGAGATTACACGACAAAGGGATGAGAGAGAGCGAGAGAGAGATAGAGAGAGACTGAGAGCGAGAGAAAGAGAATGAGACAGGAACAGAGACGCTAAAACTAAAAAGGAACTATAAACAAGAAGACAAAGCGACAGAGCTAGTCATTGAGCGAGGGAAAGAGAGTGTGAAAGATCGCCAAAAAGAGAGACAACGAGATGGAGCGAGAAAGAGAGGAGAGAGAGAGAGAGAGAGAGAGAGAGAGAGAGATAGACGAAGGGGTGAGCGCGAGTGATAGAGAAAAAAGAAATCTTGAAAGAATCAGGTTCTTGTAATTCTAAATGGAAAACTGAGACCCAAAATGATCGCGATCACTCACCAGGCCCCGCCCCGTTCCCTAACTTTTTCGAAAATCCTAAGGACGTTGTATACGTAGCATTTCGTCACACTAGGCCACCAGGGCGAAAAGGTTGCAACCAACAGTCCCACACAACAGACTCCGCCCTACCCGCTTTTTTTGAAGTGACCCCGGTGGACTGTCCTCGTTCTCTCTCGCTCTCCCTCTCTCTCTCTCTCTCACCCTCCCACAAACACCAGCTGGGATGCGTGTGTGTGTTGTATTTGGCCGAGGCGGGAAGGCCTTGGATCCCGGGTGTTAGGCTGGCACCCGCAACCCCATCGCCCAGGGTTCAACCCGCTCGCTCGCGCGCTGCCTACGCGCCAAAACAAGTTACGGTCGGGTACGGTTGGCTACGGTGGCTGCTGGCGGAATGAAAGGGTCGATCGGCCAGGAAGAGCCTAAGCCTCAGCCCAAGCCGAAGCCGACACCTAAGCCGAAACGTGAGCCGAAGCCAAAGCCAAAGCAAAGCCTAAGCCCAAGCCTACGCCTAAGCTAAGCCGAAACCTAAGCCTAATCCTAAGCTTTCTATAGAATGGAATCACTTTTAAGCGCCGTTTCCGGTCAGGATCAAAGCAGTAAATACGACCGCACAAATCACCCCCAAATTATCCCTTTTGTCGAAAAGTGCGGCGCTGCCAAACCAAAAAGTGCACCACCTGCTTCGCTGAGGTGCGGTGAAAATTGATTTCGGGTGGCCGACGGCCAATTTTCGCTGTGTTTACAGTAGGGCAACGGGGCGTTGAGGCGTTTTTTGCGTAGCTGCGCGGCCCCCCCGGATATAATTAGTCGTGTCGGCGATGGAAAGGGGCGGTAGGGAGAATGGCGAACGTGTGGCATATTGGTTTTTATCTTAATAAATAGATATTCCTAATCTACTGATAAAAAAGAAACTGGAAAATTCAAAATGATGCCTTGCACGGCCCTTTAAAAACCCCGGCTAGCAGCTAGGTGAAGCCATAACATGGACTAGGCGTAGATCGGACGCGCCGGGGGCATAGGTGAGCTTTTCCTCTTCTCTCCCTCTCTCTCTCTCTCTCTCTCTCTCTCTCTCTCTCTCTTTCTCTCTCTCTTTCTCTCTCTCTCTCTCTCTCTCTCTCTCTCTCTCGCCTCTCGGCCCAAAGCCAATTATACGGGGGGACCCAAGTAGACATGGCTGGGGTCTGATACACGCCATAGAGGGGTGGGCCCCAATTTACGGGCCCCAACACTCCTCGGCTGGCAAAGCGGAAAGAGGAGTATCGCGTAGCCCCTCACTCTCCCCTAGAACACAACAACCACAAAAACAAGGCTGAAAGGAGGGGCGGAGGGAGGGGATTACATCACTATTTACGCGGTGATACTATTGACGCTAAGACTTAGATATGGGCTTAGGCCTAGGTTTGGGCTTCTGCTCAGGCTTAAGCTTAAGCTTAGCTTATTCTTAGCTTAGGCTTAGCATTATTAGCTCCGTGAGAAACCTTCGGAAGCTAGAACAAATTTAAAAGAGCCGGCAAGGCAAAGTTATCTACTCCAAGCCAAACTCTGGCAACACGCCAAAATAGCCGTTGTTTACTTGGCTAAAACTGGCGCAGTGCATTATGGAGGAAGAGCTTGGAGTGGTGTTCGTGGACTTCCTCACTCAGTCATTCTCTTTCTCTCTTGCTCTCTCTCACTCGCTCTCTCTCTCCCTCCCATCCGAACGGCTCGAAAACAGGGTTCCCCGTGCAAAAACGGGCTGCGGGGAGCAGCAGGCTGCTTGCTGCTTGTGGTTGTTGTGCTGCTCAGCGTAGCCCGAGGGCAAATAGGGAGAGAGATGGAGGGAGAGAAAGCTAGTGAGTAAGAGACAGGTTTTAGCCCTAGCCAGGCCGCATCAAAACAATCGAAAAATAGCCTAGGGCTGGTATACGTCACATTGGCTTGCGCAAGGGGTTTTCGAGAAGCCTTTTAAAGTGGGCTTAAAGGCACAGGGAAGGC